AGTTCCTTAGTTTTTATGGACATTTCTGTTAACAATGGCTATATTTTCATAGCTACATAGTTTCTTACAATCATTATTATTGCGGTTGCATAACATGATCAAAAAACCATCCTCAATACAATTATGATGTAATCGCATGTAATCACAGATGAATTTGTGTCTGAGCGATTATTAGCTTCATTTATTGTTTCCGATAAAATATAGCAAAAGAGAAAATTTCGTGATTTTTGTCCTGGGTCGATCTCCAGCAATTTTCTAAATTTACTGCTTATCAGTTCTTATTTAATATCGTCACAACAAAATGTGATTAGTGCAGCATTGCTATACGAACTTAAACTTGCACTCTCTTTCTTAGCGATGAAGCCTTCATCAAACTGATTATCCTTTTCCAGATCAATATTAGTGATCTATTCGTAACGAGCAGCGCACATTATGCACTTCACTGGGAACAGTAATGATACGCTTATTGAACTACAGATAAAAAGGATGTGGTTGGTTCAGTTGCACTTGCGAAATATCCAGCCGAGCATGACCTGCCCAGAGTTGGGACGTTAGGAATGTATTTTGTGCATCCGGATTATCGCGGTACTGGAGTCGGCACGATGTTATTCAATAAAGCGATTGCAGAGTGGAAAAAGGACGGCGGAAATATGGCACTAAATGGAGGTAATGATTATTCCTTCGTTCGAGAAGCGATTAGGTGGCCCTTACCTCACAGTCAGTGACCAAATAAATATCTTCTTGGCATTTTGCTATCAAATGTAGAAAAACGTTAAAGCTTATGCAAATAATCCGAAGGAATTGAAACTCTTACATAGTGTGCATATCACATTGTAGTAAGATTTCATATTGTGCCGTAATGTTACGTAAATGTTGTTTCTAGAGGTGTTCTTTTTGCCTCTCATTAACCACTACGGTAGTTATTCTCGCAACTAATTATTTAGCAGTATTATATGCAAGTAAACTTTGAGATCAGCGAACTGTCAAGGTATCTTCAGCGATGAGATGCTGAAATAATTGCAGTTCAAAAGATGTCACCAAAGTATGCAGCCATTTATGGCTTCA